GACTTGAAGGCCCAGTTTGGGACCCCAATCTAAGATCTACCTGCGTCCAATACAGACAAATCTGGACACTAAATCCGCTGCACCAGTAACAATATCCACTCTTCAAGAAATATGCAAAGGATGCAAAAAAAGTTTCTTGGTTCGAGAATTACGATCACACCTGTGGGAGTGTACTGCTGTTTTTGATGTAAGTGAAGATGACGTGCCTTCTGAAAAAAATACACCCAATATTGAAACCACTGAGTCAAGCCACAACATGGATATACATGTATCTACAGCCAACATCGCTTTGGAACAAAGAAGTAGCTCTGGAAGTAGTAATGTTTCTTTGGAAGTTTCTGGTGAAATTGAAAATAATCCACCTTTGGTGAGTATTTTTTGAACATAGTTTTTTGTTTAAAAAATATTTCTGTGTCAGGTGCAGCATAGAAAATAGAAAATTATCCAAAATTAAATAAACTAAACAGGTGTGAAAGACCAACGACCAATTATACCAATCGCTATGTTAACAAACATCATTCCACAATAAACAAACACAACCAATTAACAAAGTAACAAACTACATTGGGGTACTTCTGTGACATATTAGGCTAGGTTCATTCAAAGTCAATCCATTGCTTATAAATTGTACATTCTCTGCTGTTCTTGTATTGTTTTTTACGTTCACTTGTATCATTATGGATAATTTGGAACTGGGATTGGTTCCTGTCTTTTGAGCCAGAATATTCCAACAGTGAAGTCTCACTACCAGCAGCTTCAAACTAATGAAATACTTATGACCAGAGCTGCATGTATACTAATTAACTCATTAACCTAACAGTACATGGCATATTGCTTCTTCGACACCTAGTACAGGCAATAGCATACAAATCAACACTCACTGTTTTTAAACAACTTAAAATTTATTTCATTCTGGGCTAATCGTTGTTGGTTAACACATAGAAGAGTTCAAGTTTTCCTGCAGGGGATTCCCCCTTGTCTCGTTGTCATATACATGTACATTACACACGACACAGCCCAACTGCAAATTTGTTTATGACTTTCAACAACAAAATATGGATATTTATCACAGTAAACAATAACAAATCATAAGATGCATAACAGCTATAATTTTGAAAATCCATCAAAACTCATTTCTATTTCTGGAATTAACACAATATATATTTTACTATCATGCATTTTGTACAAAGCATCTGATCTTGTGTGAAATGATTTTCACAAACTATGTAATTTTGGCTGTTAGATTTTGGTTTGTACCAATATTAGAAATTCAATTCTTATGCAGACTTTGTTTTTTTTACTTCAGACAAGGTAACATTAAGTGGAGATTTGTAAAGTGTCAAATCTATTTTTGTAAATCCACTAAGCAACATGCCCCTCGATTTCAGTCACCTTTGACCTTTGTCCACCAGGGAGTTGTTCCTTTGGTCAACATTGTTCAGCCAATCAGTCTTTATTTTGCACTCGACACGTAGCGTCACTTCTTTTCTTAGATTTTCTTTGTTCCCCATTCATTCATAGTTTGCTACGCTTCGCTGGCTCTATTTCGCTATTACTCTATTCAGTCTGCGTCAATTTAAATCAAATCTTTTGTCTCCCGCTCGAGATCAATTTCTTTCATAATGCCTAGAAGAGGTCGTCCCAGCAAGAAATCAGCTACTTCACACATCGCACCGTACGTTCGGCCAGTAACGCGTTCAGCAACAAGAACTCCGGATCAATTAGCAACGGAACAAAGGAATAATACTGCAAGCGTTATTACTCAACTTCGCCCAAATGTGGACAGTTCTACTGCCCAGAATGTTCAAGCCTCGGCTCCCGGTGCGGCAGTTGTTACTAAGGATATGTTTGCTGAATTTCAGGCCCAAGTGCAGTCATCTATTTCTAATTTGACGCGAATGTTTCAACAACAGACTCAATCTACGGCACCCCAAAATACCGCGGTACGTAACCTATCGCCCGAAAATCTAGTAACGCATTACCACCATAATCACTCTCATGGAAATAATCCTATAGTTGAAAGCAACGCCACAAATGACATCGTTTCTGCCGATCACGCTTTAAATCACCCGCCACGCAACATCGGACAGGCTCCCGCAATAATTAATGAGGAGACGCACAGACAACAATGGCACGATAGCAGCCCCATCGACGCACATCCCACTGAGAACTTTTCATCTCACAGCAATGTGTTCGGATCTCGCGGAGTAGCGTCAGATCAACTACCTCGTATTGAACTGGTGTCGCCATCTATCCGCCGTGATATTTTGGCAGGTAAGGACATTAATCTTGCTTGTCTACTCGTTCCAGGCTACACTCAAACTGACGGTCACCGTCACATAGTCGTGGGCGATGAGGCTTATACTTTGAAACCAATTCAAGACAGCAGGCTAACTCGCGCTCTGACAATTCAAGAATTCATTCTTGCATTTTCGATTTATAAAAATGTAATCTGCGATGTTTATGCAGATCGCCGTATCGAACTTGACATTTACCAACGAGACATTATTGATATGTCTAGAGGTTTTAAAGGACTGGCGTTTTACGAATACCATCGTGCATTCTCGGCAAGGGCTGCTGCGCTGCTTTTGAACCACAATGTGAAAGTCGATTGGTCACGTCGAGACACTACTTTGTTCACCTCTATTTTCGCGGGTATTCAGGCAAATACGTGTAATATTTGTAACAGCGTGACTCATACTACGGAGGCTTGTCGTCAGTTGTCTTCTACAGGCAAAAAACCAAACTTTAACGGCAACAATGCACAGCCTTCCCAAACTCATGACAGGAATGGAAGAAAGCGAGTTTCATATCAAGGAAAAGAGATTTGCAACAATTTTAATTCTTTGACTGGTTGTAAACGCAATAATTGTTCTTACGTACATGTGTGCCTCGTTTGCCATTCTTCCGACCACAATGCAACACACAGAACATGCCTGTCACCGAACAATCAAACTAAAGCCTGACTGCCTACATTTGTGTCTACACCTATAAATGTTGATATTCTTGCCCAAGAATTATTATCTCACCCAGATCAGTCTTTTGTGGAATACCTCATTAGTGGCTTAAAAGATGGTTTTGATACAGGAATCAGGGACCCACCAAAAACCTCATTTATATGTCCCAACCTTCTTTCGGCACGCAGTCAGCCTGAAGTGGTCTCTAAACATCTTGCATCAGAAGTCAAGAAAGGCTACCTAATGGGACCTTTTTCCACACCACCATTTGCGGTATATCGTTGTAGCCCTATTGGTGTCGTGGAAAAAAAATACTCAAACAAACAACGATTAATTGTTGACCTTTCATCACCACGTGACAATATTGATACACCAAGCATCAATGATTTAATTGATAAAGATGATTTTTCATTGTCATATGTTAAAATCGACGATGCCATTTCTGCTATTCAAAGGAAAGAGAAAGGTGCATGGCTATGTAAAACCGATATTGTGGATGCATTCAAACTGATTCCTATCAACCCTTCACTTTGGCACCTTTATGGAATTTCTTGGGAAAAACATTTCTACTTTTTTGTTCGTCTTCCCTTTGGATCACGTTCTAGCCCCAAGATCTTCGACAACCTTTCTTCTGCTATATGCTGGATTGCGCATAACAACTATCACATCGACACTATCTTCCATCTCTTAGATGATTTCCTCACAGTTGATGCACCTACCTTTGACGCAGACCGCACCATGGCGGTCTTGACACTTATATTTCGTCGCCTAGGGGTCCCTTTAGCACCACACAAGACAGTCGGTCCATCAACAGTTCTTGAATATCTTGGTATCACTCTGGATACTGTTGAAATACAAGCTCGCTTACCCGAGGATAAACTTGTTCGTATTCGCAAATTGCTCGATACTTTTCTCACTCGCAAAACCTGTACCAAGCGTGAACTTTTGAGTCTTCTTGGCCACCTTAATTTTGCTTGTCGAGTCATCATACCAGGACGTACTTTCATTTCTCGCCTAATCGAATTGTCAAAAGGGGTCAAAAAATTACAACACCATGTCACAATATCATCTGAGAGTAAACAAGATATCTTGATGTGGCGCAGTTTCCTCTCTGAATGGAACGGGGTTTCCATGTTTCTTGAGGCCAATTTGACACCAGCAACAGGCTTGCAACTATATACGGACGCCAGTGGCATCGGTCATGGTGGTTTTTTCCGCGGCCTTTGGTTTCATGAACGCTGGTCCCCAGAGCTAACACTCGACGACCCCAAACTATCAATTGCATTCCAAGAACTCTACCCAATCGTCGTTGCCTCTATTTTGTGGGGCCACTACTGGTGTCGTAAACGAATTTTGTTCAATTGCGACAACATGGCAACAGTTCATATCATCAACAAGGGTCGATCAAAATCACCAGCCATCATGAAACTTATGCGACGCCTCGTTATCACTGCAGCTTCATTTGATTTTATGTTTCATGCAGAGCATATTCCAGGGAAAATTAATACGATTGCCGATTCTCTTTCTCGTTTCCAGGCCCAACGATTTCGAGAGGCAGCCCCAACAGCCAGTGCAACTCCATGCCAAATTCCCTCCGTGGTAATGTTCGGCTAAATCAAGCAGTGGCGGCTTGTCAACATGCATCACTCAGCACAAGGACTCTCGGAACATATTCTACTGGAGTACGTACATGGTTCCGATTCACTGCCATGTTTGGCATCCAGGGTCGGTCCACTACACACCCACCAATTTCCGAGGACATTCTGATCTACTTTGTCGCTCACTGTGCGACATTTCTCCATCTCAAATTCATGACAATCAAAGTCTACCTGGCGGGAATCAGAAATCACTATATTGTGGGAGGCCTCCCAAACCCATTGACAACATCTCAAGGTCAACCATACCTCCGTCTCCAACACGTGCTTCGAGGGATTCACCGCCTGCAAGGTTCCACAACTCGGCCACGCTTGCCAATAACTGGAGATATCTTAAAGAGCTTATGCGCCCTACTTCGTAATGGCGTTTTCGGGCCTTATTTTGACCTGTTGCTCGAAACAGCTTTCCTGCTCGCCTTCTTTGGCTTTCTTCGCTGCAGCGAACTGACATGCAATGCAAGAACCTTCAATCCCAAACTTAACCTTTGCGTTGGTGACGTCAATTTTATCATGGTTGCAGGACAGGTTGATTGTGCATCAGTTCGTATAAAAACTTCAAAGACCGACCAGTTTCGACGAGGGTTCGAACTTCGTTTGTTCCCTACACACAACCAGTCATGTCCAGCATCTACACTTCATCAATTCTTCTCTGTTCGCAAAAGTATGAATGCTACACCTAATGACCCATTGTTCTTGCTGCCTGAAAGAACTCCGCTTAACCGTGATGTGTTTACGACTTCATTGCGCACTCTCCTCGCCAGACTGGGCCTGCAACCCCAGCTTTTTGCCGGCCATTCATTTCGCATCGGAGCAGCTACGACTGCAGCAAGTGTCCATCTGCCCGACCACCTCATTCAAACGCTTGGTAGATGGTCTAGTAATTGCTACCGTGTTTACATTCAAACACCTGAACAGCTTTTGAGACAGGCATTCCAAGCATTGTCAATCGTGTAACTCATCTATTTTCGGCCAAACACCTGTTTGGCTTTTGTGGCTCGCTTTTAAAAAAACATTAACAATCACGATATGATTCAGTACATTGTTTTCATAACTTGCGTTGTGTATTCTTGTGTTTATTCACCTTGTGCCTGTTCTGCATTGGACCGCAGTCCATTCTCATCATCCACCTGGGCTGCACAGCTGCCTGGCACCCAGGACCCCAACTCCCCCAGGTCGCCATTTAGATGTCCCCTGGGCCGAGTGTTCCTCCTTTCCCACTTACATTTACAGCGTAGGTCGAGAGTACAGCGTATTCCTCCCTACAAACATTCCCTTCACCATGCTCTTAACTGGACCGCAGTCCATTCCCATTTTCCACCTGGTCTGCACAGCTGCCTGGCACCCAGGACCCCAACTCCCCCAGGTCGCCATTTACATGTCCCCTGGGCCGAGTGTTCCTTCCTCCTTTCCCACATACATTGACAGCGTAGGTCGAGAGCACAGTGTATTCCTCCCTACAAACATTCCCCTGTCACCATGTTCATGCTCTTAACTGGACCGCAGTCCATTCCCATCATCCACCTGGGTTGCACAGCTGCCTGGCACTCAGGACCCCAACTCCCCCAGGTCGCCATTTGCATGTCCCCTGGGCCGAGTGTTCCTTCCTACCTACTAATACTTACTTCATGGGGGTCTCTTCGGTCACTCTCATTCTTCATGCCCTTCGCTTGGGCTAAGGATTCCATCCTGCCCCCCATTAAAGGGCGCGGCGGCCATTTTCATGGCCACCCCCCAAATTTTCGGCTCTTGCAGGAAATCCTTGACCTTGTGTGACCCTGGTCCTGCGTGACCTTGGTACCCACCGACCGAAGGGGCCCCTGCCCAGCTTTTACAGTCTGTATTTTTATAGTTTTGTATTTGTAGTAGTG